TCCAGGAGTTGGTTCTTTGAAAAAATAAACAAAATAGACAAGCCTTTAAGTAGGCTCATCAAGAAAAGAAGGGAACGGACACAAATAAACACAATCAGAAATGAAAGAGGAGAGATTACAACTGATACCACAGAAATAGAGAGGATTGTAAGAAATTACTATGAAGAACTGTATGCCAAGAAATTTGAGAACCTAGGGGAAATGGACACATTTCTAGAAAAATATAATCTCCCAAAACTCAATGAAAAAGAAGTAGAACACCTGAATAGACCAATAACAGCAAAAGAAATTGAAGCAGTAATCAAAAAACTCCCATCACACAAAAGCCCTGGACCAGATGGATTCACAGGAGAATTCTACAAAGCATTTAAGGAAGAGCTAACCCCCATTCTTCACAGACTATTCCAAAAAATACAAAAGGATGGAAAACTCCCTAACTCCTTTTATGAAGCCAGCATCATCCTAATTCCAAAACCAGATAGAGATACAACAAAGAAAGAAAACTACAGGCCAATATCGCTGATGAACATAGACGCTAAAATCCTCAACAAAATATTAGCAAATCGCATCCAACAATATATCCAAAAGATTATACACCCTGACCAAGTGGGATTCATCCCAGGGATGCAAGGATGGTTCAACATTCGCAAAACAGTAAATGTAATTCATCACATAAACAAAAGCAAGGACAAAAACCACATGATCATATCAATAGACGCAGAAAAAGCTTTCGATAAGGTACAACACCCATTTATGATAAAAAACACTCAGCAAAATGGGAATAGAGGGAACATTCCTCAATATAATAAAGGCCATTTATGAGAAACCTACAGCCAATATCATACTCAATGGACAAAAACTAAAAGCTTTTCCACTAAGATCAGGAACAAGACAAGGATGTCCACTTTCACCACTCCTATTCAATATAGTATTAGAAGTTTTGGCCACAGCGATCAGGCAGGAAAAGGAAATAAAAGGCATCCAAATAGGAAAGGAGGAAACAAAATTGTCACTGTTTGCAGATGACATGATAGTGTACATGGAAAATCCTATAGACTCTACCCAAAAACTGCTCAAACTAATTAATGAGTTTGGCAAAACAGCAGGATACAAAGTCAATATCCAGAAATCAAAGGCATTTTTGTATACAAACAATGAATCAGCAGAAGCAGAAATCAAGGAAAAAATCCCATTCGATATAGCAAAAAGAAAAATAAAATATCTGGGAATAAACCTAACCAAAGAGGTAAAAGACCTGTATGCAGAAAACTACACAGCACTGAAGAACGAAATCAAGGAAGACACAAACAAATGGAAACATATACCTTGTTCATGGATTGGAAGAATTAACATCATCAAAATGTCCATACTAGCCAAAGCAATATACAGATTCAATGCAATACCTATTAAAGTACCAATGGCGTATTTCACAGACATAGAACAAACACTTCAAAAATTTATATGGAATCATAAACGAGCCCGAATAGCAGCTGCTCTTTTGAGAAAGAAGAACAAAGTAGGAGGGATCACAATACCTGATATCAAACTGTATTACAAGGCCACTGTAATCAAAACAGCCTGGTACTGGCATAAAAACAGGCACATAGACCAATGGAACAGAACAGAGAGCCCAGAAATCAACCCAACCCTCTACAGTCAATTAATATTCGACAAAGGGGGCAGTAACATAAAATGGAGGAAAGATAGCCTCTTCAGCAAATGGTGTTGGGAGAACTGGACAGCTACATGCAAAAAAATGAAACTTGAGCACCAACTTACACCATACACCAAAATAAATTCAAGGTGGATAAAAGACTTAAATATAAGCCATGACACCATTAAAGTCCTAGAGGAGAACATTGGCAAGAAAATCTCAGATATTCCACGCAGCAACATTTTTACGGATATGTGCCCTAGAGCAAGGAATATAAAGGAAAGAATAAACAAATGGGATCTCATCAAAATAAAAAGCTTCTGCATGGCTAAAGAAAACAGTATTAAATTAAAAAGACAACCAACTGTATGGGAAAACATATTTGCCAATGATACCTCAGACAAAGGTTTAATCTCCAAAATATACAAAGAACTTACACGACTCCACTCTAAGAAGACACCCAACCCAATTAAAAAATGGGAAAAGGACTTGAACAAACACTTCTCCAAGGAGGACATACAGAACATTCAGAGACACATGAAGAGATGCTCAATATCGTTAGCTATCAGAGAGATGCAAATTAAAACCACAATGAGATACCACTTTACACCAGTCAGGATGGTTATCATAAACAAGCAACAAACAACAAATGTTGGAGAAGTTGTGGGGAAAAGGGGTCCTTAGTACACTGTTGGTGGGATTGTAGACTGGTACAACCATTATGGAAAACAGTATGGAATTTTCTCAGAAAAATAAAAATTTACCTGCCTTTTGACCCAGCAATTCCACTGCTAGGATTATACCCCAAGAATCCTAAAACATCAATTTCAAAGAACCTATGCACCACAATGTTCATAGCAGCACAATTTACAATAGCCAAGAGTTGGAAGCAACCTAGGTGCCCATCAGTAAATGAATGGATCCAAAAATTGTGGTACATATACACCATGGAATTTTATGCAGCAGAGAGAAAGAAGGAGCTACTACCTTTTGCAACAACATGGATGGAACTGGAAAGCATTATGCTGAGTGAAATAGGCCAGGCATTGAAGGACAAATACCATATGATCTCACCTTTGACAGGAAGCTAAAGAATAAAACAAACAAGCAAACAGAATAAAAACAAAGACGCTGAAATAGAGAACAAGTGGGCAGCGACCAGAGGGGAGAGGGAAGGGAACTTAAGGGGAAAAAGGGGGAGGGATTTTGAGGAACAAGTATGAAAGACACAGAGATGAGGACTGGGGGTGGGGGGGAATGGGAGGGAGGGGGGAGACTGGGCGGGGGGGGAAGGGAAAAAAATGTACTTGAAAAGTAACTAAATAAAATTAAATAAATAAATTAATTAATTAATTAATTAAATTTAAAAAATAAATAAATAATTTGATTTTTGAAGTTTGAAAATCTTCATTGCACTTACATCAAAGTACAGAAAACTACTGCTGGAACCGCAGTTCCTGCTTGGAAAACACCTCCACCGTGAATTTGTGTGGGATGGAGATGTAGCTTCTCATCTTACCTTTGAACAGAACAGGAAGTTCATAAAATGGCTCACTATTACTTATGATTCAAGAATGTTAGCTGTTATTGGAATGACTTTATCACAGTATGAGTTTGGCCTGTAAGTGGCAGTTTTGCCTTGTAATTTTAGAGTCAATTCATTAAGAAATGCTATCGAGTCTGTAGCAAAAGCTAATGTCCAAAGCCATTAAGGGTTCAGTCGCAGTGATTGAGTGCAGTTCTCATTCAGAAAAATTTTAATCCCAGCACTGAGCTCAACAACTCACAATAAAATGTAATCACTGCTAAGTCATCAAACTGCTTCTAGTAGGACATGTCAGGGTGTCCAGCTTCTAGATCTAATGAAAAGTTTACAAAACCAGTGATGGTTAATTAAGTTTGTGAGAGCAAAGGAGTTCCCCCTGGGCACTGCTGGTTCTGCACCCCTCAGAGACCGGAACATTTTCCACAGAGCACCAGCTGCTGGATGACACAGTGAATAAGCTTTGAACCTGTGACATTCCACACGCTTTGTAGATTTGACTGGCTAAAGTTCTTTCTGCTCCCAGAGGTTTCCCCCCCACCATCATTGTCAACCCGTCTCACAGATTGCACTTAGTTGTTCTGCACTTGTGTTTCTCAGCCTCTTTGACATTTTCTCACCTGGATTTGCTCCACATGGACTCTTCATGGAGGCATAGTCTTTGGTCACATCCTATGTGGCACCAGCTGCTCCAGTGAACAACTGAGAAGTATCAATAACATGTACCAGTTCATGAAGAGCCAAAGAAAATTACTCAAAATTATTTGCCTCCTTTTTTAATTGATTAATTAATGTCGCTGCCAATGCCAATGTTAACGTTTGGAGTGGCTGTCCTTGCCAAAAGGATGGTAGTCTTAAGTGGGTTTGTTTTCTCGACACGTTTCTTCAGCTGCTGCAATAAAACAAGGCTTCATTAACTCACCCTGGGTAACTGTTTCCATTGTTTGGCTAACAAATGAGCCACTTGGAAACTTACTCATTTCATTTTTTATTTTTACTCATTTTTATTTTTGTGAAGAAATTGTCCTATGCTGAGATACTCCTTTTTAAATTTTCTGAACTTCTGACCATAACTTTCCCGTGAGTTGGGAATATTGTGGCAAAGCCTGCATGGTAATGTCGGTGCAGAGTCTATTCTTCTAGCACAGCTGTGATGTCATTGCATGATAAATGCAATGCTTTGCTCTCTCAATTTATAACATAGTCACACATTGCTGTACATTAAAAGTCTAACATTCAGAATCCACTTTTCTTGTTTGGCATGATGGTATACACTGGTAATTTTAAAAAGTTAAGCAAAATGCTATGATACAGCAATAAATATGGCACTCAAAACATGGTCCCCTTGGAAGAGTGTCACTGTGACATTCTGTGTGCTGTGTAGTGTGTGAAGCAGGAGAGCCGTCGCAGGCACTCAGGCCTGCCGTCATGGCAGGCTGGCAGCTGTAGATATTAGGCAAATGGATGAACGTGGCTATGTTCCAATATAACTTAATGGACAGTGAAATTTGAATTTCATAAAATCTTCACATGTCAAGAAGTATTATTTTTGGTTTGCTTCCTCTCAACCATTTGAAAATGTAAACATTATTCTTAACATGTGGGCCATACACAAGTGGGTGGCTGGCTGGATTGAGCCCAGTGGTCGCCAACCCTGCTTTACACCATGGTGAGCGTGCTGGGCTTTGCTTTCATTCAACAGGCCTACCTCTGGTGTGCTCAAACATGATTTTCTGTAAAGCCAGTGCAAATCCTGGAAACACTAGCCAAACAGGAAGTCTAAGATCATGCCTCTCCTTGCAGGATGGTACCCGAGTTGTAGGAACATGTGGTGGTTACTGTGGAAAATGTACTCCATCCTCGGGTACTGGCCTGGAGGTTCGAGTTTTATAGTTAAGGTAAGTCAATTTTTCCTTCCTTCCTCCCTTCCTTCCTTCCTTCCTTCCTTCCTTCCTTCCTCTTTAAGATTTTTTAAATTTATGTATTCTTAGAGGGGAAGGAGGAAGATAAGGAGGAAGAGAAACATCAGTTTCTCATCAGTAAGAGAGAAACTGATCACTTGCCTCTCACACACACCCAGACCCAGACTGAGCCCACAACCCAGGCATGTGCCCTGACCAAGAATTCAACTGGTGACCTTTTGCTTTGCAAGATGGTGCTCAACCCACTGAGCCACACCAGTCAGGGCCCCTTCTCTGTCTCTCTCTCCCCCCCTTCTTCCTTCTCTCCCTCTCTCTATCTCCTTCCTTCCTTCCTTCCTTCCTTCCTTCCTTCCTTCCTTCCTTCCTTCCTTCTTTCCTTCCTCCCTTCCTTCCTTCCTTCCTTCCTTCCTTCCTTCCTTCCTTCCTTCCTTCCTTCCTTCTTTCCTTCTCTCTCTTTCTGTCCTTCCTTCTTTCTCTCTACATTTCTAACTTTCTATCTCATTCTTTCTGAGGCCTAATGATTAACAAATGTGATCAGGTCTGTTGCCCTAAGACGGATGACTATTAAGCATCTCAGCATTATCCTGCCTTTTTCTCTCCTTCTCATCTGCCCTCCACCCTTGAGGTCCCCAGGCTTCCTGCATCATCAGATTTCTCTGCAGTGCTTATTAAAAATGCTGCTTACTGGGATCCATCTCCAGAGGTCCGGTTTCATTGGGTCTCTTGTAGACTCAGGAATCTGTATCTGTAGTGCAAGGAATTCTGATGCAGATGACTCAGATCAACCTTTGCAAAATACTGCCTAGAAATATAGTAATAATAATATGAAGGGTGTTCACTGCACCCTGTGTGTCAGGTACCATGCTAAACACTTTCTTTGTGCCTGAGCACTAGGCATTATTTCATTGAATCTTCACAAGAAAGCCACAATAATGGGGCTGCAATCCTCATGTTACAGATGGAAGCTGGGCCCCACAGCAGTTAAGTAGCCTGCCTGTGGGCACAATGAGGTCCTTTGACAGAACCCCGGCATATTCTATACAAAAGCCACTGCTCTCATTACTGCACTGTTGCACACACTTTCAGTGCACAGTGGGAACTTGTTAAAAATGCAGAATCTTAGGAGTCATCCTAGACCTATGAAACCAGAATTTGCATTTTAACAAATTCCCCAGAGAGTCATACATGTTAAAATTTGACAATTCCTGGTCTAACTACATTATGCCAGCAAGTGCTGCCTCTGCTGGTCAGAGGACGGAATCAGTCACTCTTTTTCTCATCTCAGTGCCTAAGCTACAAGAGATGAACTCAGCCTACCCATATGAGCACCCACTACAACTGTCCTCAGGATTCCAGCAGCCCATTACCCTATAAAGCCTTCAAGATCCTGACACAGGAATTCCTAGTTGACATTTATAAATCAGTATTTCAGTGTTTAATTAAATATCTTATTCAAAGTCATGGTCTTAAGCTAGGATTATTTCCATTGTGAGAGGCAAAAGAAAAAAGGAAACTTCTTGTCTTAAATAACCAAGCTATACAAGTAGTGGTCTAACTTCAGGCATGGCTGGGTCCAGAGGCTCAAACAAAGTCATCAGACTCTTTCTCCATCAGTCAGCAATGCTTGTCTCTTAAGTGGCTTCATTCTCAAGCAGATCATCTCCCCCACACCATGACCTCTGGCACCTCTAGGCTTACATCATCCTTACAGCTCTGATCCCAAGTGAATGCTCACCCCCAGCATCCATTTTGCACAAGAACTCTGGCTCTGATTGAGTCACATGGCCACTTCTGAACCAATCACAATGTCCAGGAAATGGAGATCATGTACCCACCTAGAGTTGCATAACTGACAGCTTCACTTGAAAGAGACATATTCCCAAAGCACAAGAAGGTGTTTGTTATCAGAAATGGGGAGATGGGATGAAGGCAGGCAAAGTCAGAAAGTATCCACTAGGGATCCCCATTATATGTGTATTTTATATATTTTATATCTAGTAAATAAAGTTGTGTATGTGTTTTACATAATATTTACATGTATGTATAGAAAAAAAGGCTGGAAGAAAATATACTGATATTTGAAGAGGGTTATCTTAGGTTGGAATTTCAAGCCAGTGATTTTTCCATTCTTTATGCTGTCCTGAAATATTTCATGTTTCTGATAGCAGACATACATAAGTTTTAAAATCTAAAGAAAATAATGGTTTTTAAGTTGAATATGTAAAAATGTATGGATTACCTACTTTTGACATGGCATTTAAGAAAGGAGATTTACCTATCTTGGTCGGTTTATTTGTTTTCAGGTGCTCTGACGAGGAAGCCATGATGGGATGGATGAAGGATCATAATGCAATACCTCCACCTTAAATTCGGGCGTGTGTGTGCATGTGTGTGTGGCCATGTATGCTTGTGTGTGTGTGTATATACAAATGCATATATACACATATGCACACACATATATATATCTGTGTATGTGTGTGTATATCTGTGGAGTATTCTAATGATGTAAAGTTTAATATTTATGTTTGAATTATTTATTGTGATGTATGTAATATTTTTGTACGTAAAATGATTCTATTATGACTGCCTTTTGCATTATTTTGTTTCTTGCAGTCAGACCACTGCATTTTACGTACTCTACATTATATGTAGTATTATGACAAAAGTGATCCTTCATTATCACGGTACACTATTGTTTACCTTCTCTCTGTAAATGTTTTATTGTTAATTTTTTAAATTTTAATTTGTTTTTTTTAAAACAATCTAGTCATCATCATGGTGCTACAGGGGTATTTTTGACATTTCTATGGAAGCATCATTAGCCGAGAAAGAATTTAATGATGTCACAGATTATACCAGCTATTAATTACACTAGGTATCTTTTTACTTTCATGTGATCTCTGGGAACAAAATTTCTGCCTTGGTGCTAATATTTAAGTGATCATCAGATGCAGAAATGTAAACACATTTAATAAAAGGGAGGAATGAAGCGCATTTCCAATGGACATAATCATTTGGATAAAGTAAGACCAGCTGTTTACCCTTATTTTGGGACATGCCTTTTTGGGGAAAGTGTTATACTCGATTCTTTTTATTGTTATTGTTATTAATATGCTTTGCTTCAGTTCATGGTGCCTTAGTCCTCCTGTGGATAAATGGAGGGTTCCACCAGCAACCTCATTACACAGTGACCTTGAGAAAGTGAGGTCCTCTCAACATTTTGCCAAGATATTCTGAAGTGATGTACAGGTTTACCAGTTCCAAGACAGAGGATGCACAGGATGGGGGCAGCCTTCAGCCAGCCCAGAATACCCGGCGAAGTTCAGACCCAGGTTCTTAGTCGTTGCCTCTTGCGTGCCTCTGCCAGTGATGTGACTTGTCTTCAGGCTGTGAGCCTAAGACCCTGCCAGTTTTCATGGCTACTGCAGGAACTGTCATTGGTGACAAGAAATGAACTCTGGAGTACAAGATACCTGAGTCTTTCTGATCATCCATTACACCACTGTTACTTCTTTCCAAAATGGAAGTGCCAAAGCCACGGTCTTTCTGCCCTTCCCAACCTGGTCGGAGGGAAGTCATTGCCAATGCCCCCTGGCAGACACTTGCTTGGAGGAATCCTGCCCACTTCTAAACACCAAAGAGATTAGAAAACACAGGCAGTGTTCTCCAACCCTCCACACTCCAGAGTGCTCCAGGAGAAGTTATACTCAGCGTATGAATATGTGCTATTCTCCACTATTAACACATTGTGAAAATATGCTATGAATAAATACCATGACCACATTCAAACATTTCTGTTGCACGTGGTTTCTGGATTCTTTTTTTTTAAATTTTTTTATTGATTATGCTGTTACAGTTGTTCTATTCCCCCCTTCATTCCCCTCCACCCTACCCCCCCATCCCCACCATTACCCTCCCTTTAGTTTATGACCATGTGTCTCAAGTCCTTTAGATTCTATATTTCCCATGCTATTCTTGCCCCCCCATCTATTTTCTATCTATTGTCTATGCTACTTATTTTCTGTACCTTCTCCCCCCATCTCCTCCTCCCACTCCCCTGTGGCTAACCCTCCTTGAGATCTTCATTTCTATGTTTCCACTCCTGATCTAGCTGTCCTTTTAGTTTGCTTTTGTTTTAGGTGTGGTTGTTAATAACTGTGAGTTTGCTGTCCTTTCACTGTTCATGTTTCTTTAACTTCTTTTGATTCTTGATGGAGTAAAAATGTCTCTAGTTTTTAAGATTGTCAGATTGAAAAGAAATGCAGATTTTCTTAACCCCATCCATATAGTTGCTGTTTTAGAGACAGATAAGGGACTCGAATTGTCCCCCAAGTCTGTCTTTTTATCACTGAAATCAGGTGAAGTGTTTTTTTCTGAAAATCAGGGATATAAACCTCTTGTCTGTGTGATAGGGAACAAATGAGCTAGCAAACTAGATTTAAGTGGGATTTGGAAGCTTAATTGTCAATTTTTGTAACAGCAATTTATATACTGTAGACTGATGGTGTCCAGAGGAATGAGATATTTCCAAAGAAATCTAATAGTAGGTGTATATTCACCATATACCAGGCTCTTCACTGAGTTGTTTTAGCTCATCCTCACAGCTGCCAAGGAGAGCAAGCATAGATTTACATCATTCTGTAGATAAGGAGGCAGAGCCTTTGAGATGTAAATAGGCCCATATTCCTGTACAGTGAATATGTGGCAGTCTCCAAAGAACTCTGTCTGGCTGGGTTACAAGGCCACTTCTGGACCCCTTACATAGTCCAGGGAGGGTGGGATCACATGTCCAGTGATTGACAGCTTCAGTTGGAAAAAAAAGACACTTTCCAGAAGAAAAGGGTTTTGCTATCAGAGAAGGGTTAGATGGTATGGAGACAAGCAAAAGCAGCAGATAGACTCCAATTGTGTATGTGTGTTTGGATGCATGTGTATGCATGCACATACATGCACATGTGAGCACTTGTATACATGCACATGTGTATACATACATGTATGAAATTTTCAAGTCCCATAGCTCACACCATAGTCCCAGTCCCTTGTCATTCTTCAACATCATCGGAAACCTGGGTTCTCATCCTTTCTCTAGTATCTGCTAACTGAATGATCCAAGCCTTGGTTTCTTCATCTGTAAAATGAGGCTATTGATAGTCCACCCATATATCCTGCAGGATTAAGTGTTCTCTGAAGACCCTTTGAGCACTGCACCAGTGGTGGCAAAAGAGCCGCCCTCAAAATGTGTATTTTTAACAAGTGTGAGCTGACAGCTGTTAAGGCCCAGTTGCTGTGACAATTAGGAACTGTGTTCAACTGCTGATTACAGAGACTGACTGCAACGGCTTTCACACTGAAAAGTGTATTTCGCTGGTAAGTAAAATAAACCTAGAGAGAGGCAATCCAGGGGTGGTGTGGCAGCTCCACAAAATCTCCAGGGACAGAGTTTTTTTTTCTCTACTTCTCAATCTTCTTTACTTCAATGTGGCTGCTAGACCTCCAGCAATTGCTTCCAAATTCCAGGTCACAAGAAAAATGGAGTGAGTGGAAGTATAAAAAGTGATTGGTCCCAGATCTCTATCCTTCTTAAGAGTTTTTTAAAAACCTCACCCACAGATTCCACTTATAGCTCCTCAGCCAGAATTTAGTCATGTGGCTGCACCCAAGCTGCTGGGGCATTGGGGGAAATGGGGTTGTTTCACAGAGTGCACTGTCAAACTGCATACAGTGAGGGATCAGTTCCTAGAAAAGAAGGCAAGTGGATTTGAAAGAGGCGAGTAGAAGTCTCTTCAGCAGATTCAGGTACAGAGACTGGGGAGGGAATGCTTTGGTAATAGTTATCAGAGCAAATGAGATCACAGAATCTGGGCTAGAGCTGTGACCATTGTAAAGGTAGAAAATTACAGCGATATGGGTGGCAAAATGAACAGGCACTGATGATGTATAGGTTCAGGGTGGGCTGTGGGGGGGAAGGCACTGACTGGTCCAAGCCCAAGATGAGGTCTCACTTTACCTCCAAATACAAACAGGGTTGATGGAAAGGTGACTGGGTGGGTGGGTAAATGGACAGATCCAATCTGCTAGAATCCATTAATTCTTTAATTTTTACATCACTGTACAAGTTAAATATTGAGTTTGTATTCTACTCATGTTTATTTATCCAAATAATAAGTATTACATCTCTACTCTGTTCTGGGCACTGGAGGTGCAGCAGTATACTAGGGTATGGACTAGGGGGCCACCCTCTAGGGCTATCATATTAAAATGCCACAGATTGGGTGGCTTAGGCTACAGAAATCTATTTTCTCACAGGCTAGAAGTTCAAGATCAAGGTGCTGCTATGGATGGTTTCTGGTGAGGCTTCTCATTGCTGCTTGTATACAGTCTTCTTCTTGCTGTGTCCCCACATGGCCTTTCCTCAGTGTAAAGAAGGAGAGGGAGAGAGAGAGATCTGCTGTCTCTTCCTCTTCTAAGGACCCTGTCCTATTCTATTAGGGTCCCATCCTTATGACCTCTTTTAACCCTAACCCCCTTATGAGTCCTAGCTCCAGATACAGTCACATCAGGAGTTAGGGCTCCAACATATAAAACCTCAGAAGACAATGCACTTCATAACAGAGGCTATGGCAAAGAGACCCCGAAATAAGATGAGCATTTATTCCTCTCTTGTCTGCTGTGCTGAGGTCAACAGGCAGTTGGGCCTAGTAGGTGACTCTGTTCAGCGTGGCATCAGAGGACTCAGGCTCCTTCTATTTGTGGCTTGGCCATTGTCAAAGGCATTGTTCTTATACAGCTCATCCTCACCATGTCTGTGTCTAGCCTGCAAAAAGGGGACAATCATTTTGAGACAAGACCTGGAAGTTAAAGAATAACTTTTATTCACAATTTATTGGCAATTGTTTAGATGCATAAGCTCATGTTGTTGCAAGAGAGGCTGGAAACCATGCACCCAGCCACTGACAAGCGGAGGTAAGGCTTCTGTCCTGGGAGGAAGGAAGGAAGGTTGACTACGGACAGCTGCTTCTGCCACAAGCAATGAACAAAACCTACCAAAATCTCCACCACTTGGAGCCTACATTTTAGTGGTGACGGGCAAGAGAAAAATAAGCAAATAAACAGGTATTGGGTTGGCCAAAAAGTTCATTTAGTTTTTTCCATAAAATGGCTCTAGTAGTGGTCTTTAACTTCATTCAAAACAATTTTATTAGATTCTATTGTGACAGCTGCCATATCTGTGTGCATTTTTAAAAAAACATTAAAATTAGTGAATTTTTGTGCAGCCATTTTAACATTAAAAATGGAAGAAAATGTGCACCATTTTCAGTGTATTATGCTTTATTCAACAAAGGCAAAAATGCAACTGAAGTGAAAAAAAAAAAGACGTGCGGTGTATGGAGAAGGTACTGTGATTGACTGAATGTGTCAAAAGTGGTTTGCAAAGTTTCTTGGTACTACTGACATTTTAGCCAAATAATTCTTTGTTGTAGGGCTCTCTTATGCATTGGAAGATGTTTAGCAGCACTCCTGGCTTCTACCCACTAGAAGTCAATAATGGAAAATAGCTGGCATAATCAAAACACCCAAATCAATAAAGTTATTGGTAAAAATGAAAAACGTGTTATTTACAGAGAAAACTAAACGAACTTTTTGACCAACCCGATACCACACTTTACGATGCTCTTCTTGTAATAAATCTGCCTGTGTCTTCCACAGTGGCCATCCCTATACCATGGTGGCATGTCAAGCCATTCCCTGAGCACCAACACCTTGCATTCTCCAAAGCATTTACCTGTGCCGTTGTTCCGTTTGCCTTAGTGTGTTGATCTGTCTTTCTCTTCTGATGAATACAGAAGTAATAAAGAGTAAGCAACACCTAGCGTGTTGCGTAAGTATTAGAGGAAGAAATTAAGCAGGAACAGGATTCAGGTGTGACCTGTGACTTGGCTGACTGTGTTTTAAATAAGGTGGTAAGAAGTTCTTCTTTATAAAACTTCCATAGCCCACAACAAAGCTGTGGGTCCCCATAAAAGCCTGCCACCGACCGCAGTGGGCTTGGAAGATTCTACCTGTCACCAACAGATGGCACAGGAGGTCCTGTTCTGTCATTTTAGTTCTGTCACTGGTAAGCCTGCAGGATTTGCTGCTTATTTTGTTTTATTATTTTTATTATGGTAAAATATGCATGAAATTTAACATCTTAACCTTTTTTAAGTACACAGTTCAGTGGCATTAAGTACATTCAGATTATTGGGTGACTGTCACCACCATCCATCCTCAGAACTGTCCCTCTTGCAAAACAGAAACTCTGTGTCCTTAACAATAATTCCCCATTTGCCCCATGCCCCCAGCTCCTGGTAACCACTATTCAACTTTCTGTCTGTGAGTTTGACTGCTCTAGCTACCTCATATAAGTGGAATCAAACAATACTTGGCTTATTTCCCTGAGCACAACTCCAGTTGTAGCATGGCTCAGAATTTCCTTTTTAAAAAAATTTTTTCAACTACAGTTGACATACAATATTATATTAGATTCAGGTGTACAACCCAGTGATTAGACAGTTATATAATTTACAAAGCGATCACCCTGATAAATCTAGTAGCCATACAGTTATTACAATGTTATTGACTATATTCCCTGTGCTGTACTTTACATCCCTGTGACTAATTTATAACTTGCAATTTGTGCTTCTTAATTCCTTTCACCTTTTCCGCCCAGCCCCCAACCCCCTCCCATCTGGCAACCATCAATTTGTTCTTTGTATCTGTATTTTCTTATTTTA